CATAAAACATTACAGTTTGGATCTGCCCTCTACACCGGGATCACAAGTTCTCTCGTCTTGAGTATGCCAGATTTCATACCAGGGCGTTTCTCTCGGAGTGGCGCAGTGGGCATTCGTTCCCCATAGTGTCGATTTTCGATGCAGCGGAAGTTCCCTCGAAAGGGAACGTCTCGGGTTACGACTGTAACCCTCACTCCTTCGCGCTCCTGAGAACGACTTGCTTCGACCAATTGAAAGCTGGCGCTGTTATGCTGACGGTGCCCTTTTATAGTTTCCGGTTCACCGTCACATGCGGCATCACGAGTGACGTCATCACGCAGCACCAATCAAGATTGGACTAGTTCCATACAGGCTTCAGACGCGTCACGCTTAAGGCGTTCCCCATAGTGTCGATTTTCGACACAGCGCTTACAGTCGTAACCCGAGACGTTATGATATATGACAAGCGCTGAGCTCGTCCGTCTCTGGCTCAGCGCCACCCAACGCGCGAAAGCACATTTGAATTTAGCAGTTGATCACGTGATGCACTGACCGTTCTAATCACACCGGTGTGATCGTACACTCCAGGGACCAGCCAAGACTGATCACACCGGTGTGATTGTATGTGCGAAAGGGTTAAATCGTGGGGTTCACAGATGGAGCTCTGGACAAGCCTGAGGCGGGATTTCTTCTGGTCTGGACAAGAACCTGCCTTCCGTGGGGTCTAGCTTTGAGGAGTTAAATGTTGAGGGAGGCTTTTAATTTGGGTACAGCTGGCGGGCAGCCCTCGTATTCTAAATCGAATGAGGAGCTGGTCAAGGTTTTTACCGGAGCAGTGGCCAAACTAAACATCGAATGACCCGGTCAGAGGAGGGAAGTGCTTCATAGTAAACTGGATGAGTGATTTCTTAAGAGTAGTCAGGCCCAGCCACCAAAACGAAACCTCGTCTTCTTTCCCAACCTCCATAATTAAGTCACAAGGTCATGGAAATCCCCGTATTCCGCCTGTGTTTACAACCCCTCAACGTCAGATTACGCGGCTATCTTGGGGTTGAGTGAGCATAGGTATAAGTCGATCCCACGGGTTAAGGAGATGCTTGTGGGCTATCTCTCTCCCGCCTTAGCATTTTCATTAAAAAAGCTGGTCTTGCCTTCTAGGCCATGTGGCATCACATCTGCTTTGGTTGGCAAGGCCTATGAAGCAGCGGATCAGGCTGGTGGTTCCCTGCACACCATGGTGGTGTTACAGGCCTAACAGGCTGACCTGCTGAAGGAGCTGGATACCAAGGGGCTTGGGCCAACAAAGTCCCACAATATCAGCCTTTCTATGACAGCAACGGTAGCTACGGAGAGGCACCTGTTGCTAAATTTGTCAGGGATCAAGGAGAGAGAGAAAACGTTTCTGGTGGATGCCCCTGTCACGCGAAGAAGCAATCTGAAGCATTCCAGCATCCCTTGTCGGGTCCAGCAGCCTACAGCCTCAACCTCCCATCCCGAGCCAAGCTCTAGGAGGAGGAACAGAAGGCCAGTGTGGTGGCTTGTGTCCCCCCTTGCAAGGACCGGGGACCCGGGTGCAGCACATAGTCCTAGCCATCTGGGACAAAAGCAAATTTCAGGACTGTCATTGCTGCACGTGTGGCTAAAAAGAAGTTCTGATGCTAGGGCCATCAAAGCGAGCCCCTTTTGAGGGAGAGGGTTTGGTGAAACAAGATCATGCCTCCTCTCTATGCATTCCTGGAACTGTTCTGCCAACCCTGCCACTCTCAATTCATATATCTCTTAGTCAGTTCAGTTGTCTCCAGCCAGCAACCTGTTTCAGGGCACAGAGTTTCAGGCTCCCCACAGCCCGAACCCCCGTCCTCCCAAGGACACATATTTTCATATAGAGATATTGCCTGGAATGCACAGGAATGCACAGGAATTTCCTGAGGTCTGCATTCGAGGGCGAAGTTTTCAAATATTTGGTTCTTCCCTTTGGCCTAGCCTTGTCTCCTTAAACCACAAGACAAGTGTGTTGTCCAGGTAGAGGACCACATGTCTCTGCATAGTTTGGGATTTGACTACGATGCGGACACAGATGTCTTCCACTTGGGTAGAGTCTATTCTCGCCATGGTGGGCAGCTTGAGGCTAGGTCAGGAGATTTCCATCTGTCAATGCCAGACACTTCTGGTGAGGGTCCGTCATGATGGGGTATGCTTGCTACTAGTAACCCCATTCTGGCCGGCCCGAGTATGGTTCGTGAACTTAGCGTCTCTCCTGGAAGTCTCTTCTGGAAGGCTCTCCTTGGGAGATTCCGACCAGGTGGGACCTTCTGTCCCAGGTTAGTGGGACAATGTTTCACCCCTGACCAGAGATTTGGATCTGGGTCCGGCCCCTGAGGGGTACCAGCTCAAAGATTCTGGTCTCTCGACTGAAGTTGTTGATACCATTCTTAACGCTAGGGCTCCCTCTATTAGGAGACTTTATTAAATGGCATCTCTTTTCATAATGGTGTGAACAACTTCATCTTAAACCAGTTTACTGCCTGGTTAGTTCAGTACTGGAGTTTCTGCAAGAGCATCTCTCAGCAGGACTGACCCCTGCTGCCCTGAAGGTGTGTGTGGCCGCTATTTCGGCTTGCCACATTCACATTAATGTGACATCTTTGGGGAAGCATGTCATGGTGTTCCAATTTCTGTGTGGTGTCAGATGGCACAGGCCTATCTGCAGACTGCGGGTTCCTTCATGGGATCCCTCTATTGTATTAGAAGGGTTGTCGGATGCTCACTTTGAACCTTTGGTCAGCCACAGAAAAACTTCTGACTCTTAGGCCGGAGACACACTGGCTGCGTGGCGTGAGCGTCTCAGCTGCGTGGCGTGTCCGTTTTTATTTCGGCTCCCATGTTAACAGGTTAGAGCTTGCACACTGCCTGCATGAGCCGCGCGGAAAACGCGTGCATTCTAGAAATAGAACCGACGCCTATTTTTCACGCGACACGCAAGCGTGTTGGAAGCGTTTGCAGGCAAAATAGTATAGGAAAAGATGTTTATATGTCATTTTGTACACGAATACATATTAATAAATTACATTTTGATGTTTGAAAATCTAGGTTTTGACATAAATTCAGATATAAATGTCTTTTTTTTTAATCCCATTATTTTTGCCTATATAATTTCATGTCATTTTATTTTTTAAACAGTCGAGTCCTGGTGTCCACTACAGAGGTCATAGCATATGAATAAAATATAGCCTATATATATTTTAATTTGTTTCTAATGATCTTAACAATGTGATTACATGAAAAAAAATAAAAAAAATTCTTTGAAAAAAACTTTCTGGGCCTCAGGAGGATATAAAGTTAGGATAGGCTACAATAACATCGTAGTGTGTCTTCTGAGTGACGGTCCAACATCAGGTAGGCTAAATATAGGCTCTTTAAAGCTACACAAAGTTTGTAAATGTTATTGAAATAAACAGACAGCCGCATGTTTCCCTATTTTTCGGATTTTGGAAGATGCGTGATAAAAGTTGAAATTGTTGTCGTAAAGGCAAGAGCAACAGTAATCCAAATGTAGACTGGTCTGTCGGCGCCCTCCCTCTATGTCACATATAGCGAATATGTATTCGTGTACGCCACGCAGCGCCGCGTCAGACACGCTTCTGGTGTGCAAAGACACAGAAAACGCGACGCAGCCGCCACGCAGCTGACACGCAACAGAAACGCCACGCTCACGCCACGCAGCCAGTGTGTCTCCGGCCTTCAGGTAACTCTGCTAATAGCTATAACTTCTCTTAAAAGGGTAGGAGATTTGCAGGCCCTGTCAGTTGCCTCCTGTCTTGATTTTGCCACTGGACTGGTCAAGGTGATATTGCACCATGGCCGTACTACGTTCCAAAGATGCCTTCATCACCATTTCATCCTGTTGTTCTTCGAGCCTTCTCCCCTCCACCGTTTGACTCTTTGGAGCAGGAGAGGTTGAATAGATTATGTCCAGTCCGGGCCCTTAGGATTTACAGTACGTCCATCGCTCATGCCAGTAGCCTAAAGCCAATCAACTCTTTGTCTGTTCAGATGCGGTTTCTCTCACCTACAAGATGGACTGTATCGCTTCGCTTCTAGGTGTCATTTTACTCAGAGTGTGGCTGCCTCAAACGTGTTGGCAAAAGACACGCCTTTGCAAGATGTTTGTGCTGAGGCAGGCTGGTCCTCTCTGCAGACATTAGATTTTTCTGTGTTGATGTGAATTCAACCCCAGGGTCTCAAGTCCTTTCGGCTTCTTCGGACGAATAAATCTGGTGACGCCGTGTTCAGGCACCATTTTATAGACGTAGTCACGTTCTATGTAGTGTCACCTGACTTTGTCCGTGGCCAATGGTAATGGCGCATGTGTACACATGATTCAGACACCGGACCTTCCCATAGCGCCAACACTATGACGCAGTGTCTCGTTCACATCTCCTGTTTACATAAAGCACTGCGCATCATCAAATTTTATGTTGGCGACTGTACTATCGAGTTTATACTAAATGGAGCCTTCAGACTATAAAGGTAAGAATGGAACTTCTCCAATTGTCGTGTTTTCTGTCACCATTTGACATTTTTCACTTCAAACAGGGAAACACAGCCTGATGTTTAGATTCCTCATTAGTGTCTGTTTCTATTATACTTAAGCCATCTGCCATATTGGAACGGTCAAATCCGGTCCATGACCACTCAAAAGCAAGTTGACTGTGCATCTACAACCTAGTTATTCACATGTATGAACATCTATATATAGTGATTTTCAAAGCATTTAATTTATCATTAATGTGATAATTCTGCATATGGATATTGCATATTGAGTTATACATAAAAACACAAACCTGCACATTCTCACCTCTGTAAGGTTATCCCATTTCATCTGGAATTTATAGCTCGGTGGTTTTACAGCCATAGGCTGCACAATGCTATGAAATTTTCATTGAAAATTCATTGATTTGTTAGTGCGAGTGATGACAGCGTCATGTTAACCTTTCCAAGATGTGTCTGGAGTGGCCAAATGTGGATCAGGGTTTCATAACTCCAGGTAAAAAGTGGTGCTAACCCCGATTCTAAATTACAAGTGTGAAACGTACCTTAACCCAGGGTTAAAAGCAGGGTTTAGAATGACAATAACCCAGGGTAAAGCGCAGTGTGAAAAGCCCTTCTCATGTCACACATAATTTAATCTAATACCTGATTAAAGATCTCTTATCTTTTGAAAAATAAGACCCTTTGCATTTCTGATGATTGAAAGTGAGCATCATTGCTTTTGGGTTTGAACTAGCTTTCTCTTCTGGCTCTTTCCGGATTTCTGGGTTTTGTTTTTACCTCTTTTTCTCTTTTTTCTCTTTTTTTGAAGTGTCCTTGCTCCTGATTTAGTTGCAGATCTTTGTTTGGACTGATTGACCATCGTCTTTTGAACCAAGAGTAATTTCCTTTCAGATGAGGTTGAAGGTGAGTGAGTGACACTTGCTTTTGATGTCCTCTGGATGCTTTGAAGAATAGTTCCCATTTTGAACTTTTGAGTTATCATTTGCTTCTCTTTAGATGCCTTCCTTTGGGGAGCGAGGGTAAATGTCAACAATGAGTTTGGCTGCACAGTTTTTCTTCCTTTTCGATGTCCAGCTGTTTGTAGATTCTTCCGTTTTTCAAATGGGTTCTCCAACTTTTGACTCAGCTGAAATGTTCCCCCTTTTGCATAGTCAACTGGAGCGCAGTTTCTTTGATCTTTTGTCAGTCTAATTCGTTTAGATTTAGAGGTTCTTTGTTTGCCACTATGTGACAATTTGATTGGCACTTCATTGCATGGAAGGTCAACGGTACCACTTTTCTCATTACTTAGATTGGTGGAATTGTATGGTGTTGAATCTTTCAATACTGCCACAGGTGCAAGCTGGACCATTGTGCACCTGCAGTGAGAGATTAAAAATCGGTTACACCAGCATAATGTTACTCTGGGCTAGAGTACAATACTAAACAAACTGCTGTCAACATTTTTGTCAAAAGTGATTCACTACAAAAAGGCTGAGGAAACAAGACCTGGATTTTCAACCAGGGTTTCAAGCTGCGCTGTCAATTAGTGCAAGCATAATAGAAAAAATAACTGCTTTCACACATTAAACTTGGTGAATTACTCTAATAAAATTGTTTAAGAGAGGTATTATTCTGATCTCAGATCAGAACATTCTCAGATCTGTATTATTTAGGGAGTTCATAACTGCTTGGGAAAAGTAACCTCTGCATGGTACTTTGAGAGTAACTTTCTTCGCAGGACTCAACATGACTTGCTTGAGGTGAGCCATAGCCTTGAGTTGTTTTATTTTGTGCACTGCAACTTGAGACTTGACTCGGCGACTTATTTTCTTATGACTTCAATGTGGGTAACTTACTCCCACCTCTGGCACAATGCTATTACAGAGAAACTCATCCTAGAATTTAAAACCATGATTATAAAGGAATGTCCAAACAAATATAAGTATATATCGGAGACAATCTAGGACAATGAGTCCAGTAAACTTTGTTAATTGTTCTCATTTAACACAGAAACTGGAATTACAGGCTGAAAATCTATTAAAGACTATGAATGAACATACTATAATGATGCCATAAAAATTATTCTATGGAAGTAATTTGGTTATGTCAATATAGACAGCTGTGTGCATTATATAATTATATATACAATTACAGTGTTTTTATCCATTCTGCATTTTTGCTTGCAAACAGAAGCATGAAGCAACATTTTTGGAATACATTATTTCATTTCTTTCACTCACATTCCAAACCAGTTGTACTGTGTGCATTGCCTCCTTTGAATCATCTCAAAGCAGCGGAGTTTTAGGACGTTGAAAAAACTGTAGCCCACCATGTTGGAGATGGTGTCATTACCATTGAGAAGGCATTGTTTAAATCTAACAGAGACAGGAAGATACAAGACAGAAATAAATATTTTTGCATGAATATTTGCATGAAATCTCTCTTTTGTGTCTCAATGTCAGCTAACCCTTCCATTAAACATATGCTCAATGTATTTACATTTAAGCATTTAGGATTTTTCTTTTATTTAAAGCAACTTTCAGAGCATACATTTTATCAGTATGTGTGTTCCCTGTGAATTGAACCAATGACTAAACCGGTAAACTAATGCACTCTAAAAAAAACATTTAAATAAATGCATGGTTCAAATTCATTAATTGAACTAAAATGTAATTTGATTGTATTGATTTAAGTTGCAAAAATAATTTAGATGAGTTATGTTGACAAATTGTTGATTACTACATCAATTTAATATTGTTTTTTTTTATTTAAACTGCAAAAAATGCAATTCAACTTAATGCAACTTAAAGGAATTGTCTGTGGATTTTAAGTTTCCAGCATGCTTTGCAAATGATAAGTAGAATAAATATTGAAATGTAGTGTTATTTTGTGTTGTGACCTGTTAGGTTAAGTTGTGCTATACTAGCAGTTAAAATAAACCACATTAAATTATTAATAGTTCCCGTACCACCACTCAATTATGTTGAAATGAATTGGAACAACTTTTATAAAACTTAAAATGTGTGTTGTAGGTGGTTGGTTTGAAGTTGTCATACCTCAAAAAGATGCCTGTGTTAATTTTCTGAGACAAAAATTTTTTTTTGAGTGTTGCACACCTTTCTACATAAATTACAGGCTGTCCCGCTGAAGATATATATTCTTTATCTATTAAAACATGCAGTGTCCTAAAAAACTCATACGAGCCATATATGGATAACATACATGAGGTGAACAAACAGAAAGGATGAGTTATGACTCTAAAGAGTCTCCCCTGAGGATCTGAAAATGCCTCTCATCTGTGGAATGTGAAAGACCCCAGAGCTTATGTGCTCACCTGTGGTCACAGTCGCAGTGGGAGACTGTGAAGAGGGTGGGATTGAAGACACCAAAGTTCACAGAGAAAGAGCGTATGATGTGCTCACAGTGATCATGTTCTCGGCAGCATCTATCCGCATGCACAAACATACCTGATAAGAGAAGAAAAATGTAGTCTAAATAATCAAATAACAAATATAGATTATTTACAATATTGTAAAATAATAGAGGGAATGTATTAACGTCACTTTCCCGCCGGAACACGACCCCCTCAGCCGGACTGAGTGGCAAAAGAGCTGCTGCGTGGCTGGAGTTAATAGGGGAAACTGCGAAAACGCGGGTAAAACAAACTATTATCAGTTTAAACTAAAAGTTGGACTCGATATAGTGTTCCTTACAACTTATCAAAGATCCAGTGATCCATGTATATTGACATGCAGCCAGGAATCGTGTTTCCTGACAGCCTGATTTCGATGCCGGGGAAATAAATTAAGAAAATTTGCCTGTAAACGTTTTATATAAATACAATATAGATAGGTCTAAATCCGAGTGATCACTTACATTAATGTTATACTGTATATCATCATATCGTCCAGCCCTAAAACTTATATAGTTTTTTGTCAGTTTTTATTTAAAAACATCCAATTATGCAGAATATAGTCTGTTCTGTAGCTTTTTGCAGTCTGTATACAGTACCTCAGATTTCTGGTCAAATCTAGTAGTACAGTCAATCGCAAAGCTCTTTCCCGTTTTAGATGTGTTTTGTGTGTTTTTCACGGCATTCACGCTGAAAACAAATGCTGCCGCTCAGTCTTTTTGCCACTTAGTGGGCGTGACCGCATTCACTCCGGTCGACGGTGACGTCATGCGCATACCCTCTAGTTTAAAACCCTCATGTGGTGTTCGGGTCAATTTGACCCGGAGAAGATTTTCTTATTCCCGAAAATACTAGTTAATGTTATCGCTTTGGACTGAAACTTAGTGACTTTGTTCCCAAACGGTATAACTAAATCTCAGTGTTTTTTTGAAAATTTTCTTATTTTTTTTGTGGGAGTATTGTTACCTTGTTACACTTGTGGTGTTCCCGGTCAAAAATGACCGGCCTAAAAAAAATAGCTTATAAGTCACTCATTATACCATATTTTCACCCAATCTTTGATTCAATCTTTTTGTCAACTTGTTCTCTTTCAATTAGGACTGGTTTTATATTTCTGTTTGCATCTGATTAATCGTGGGCCTCATTTGTCTGAGAGTAGGCATCTCATTTTTTGAGTAAAAAACAAATAATTTATGAGTAAATTTGGAAATATGAAACAAATATATGAAAAAAATGGCTACGGTTGATCACACTAGTCTACTCTAATGTTTCACCAGGAATTTTGTTTTGAAACTTTTGTTTTGTAAAAAAATATGGCACATAGTCACACTTGTGGTGTTCCCGGTCAAAAATGACCGGCCTATAAAAAATAGCTTATAAATCATTCATTATACCATATTTTCACCCAATCTTGGATTCAATCTTTTTGTCAACTTGTTCTCTTTCAATTAGGACTGGTTTTATATTTCTGTTTGCATCTGATTAATCGTGGGCCTCATTTATCTGAGAGTGGGCATCTAATTTTTTGAGTAAAAAACAAATAATTTATGAGTAAATTTGGAAATATGAAAAAAAAATATGAAAAAAATGGCTACTGTTAATCACACTTGTCTACTCTAATGTTTCACCAGGAATTTTGTTTTAAAACTTTTGTTTTGTAAAAAATATGGCACATAGTCACACTTGTGGTGTTCCCGGTCAAAAATGACCGGCCTATAAAAAATAGCTTATAAATCACTCATAATACCATATTTTCACCCAATCTTGGATTCAATCTTTTTGTCAACTTGTTCTCTTTCAATTAGGACTGGTTTTATATTTCTGTTTGCATCTGATTAATCGTGGGCCTCATTTATCTGAGAGTAGGCATGGTCAAAAATGGTCACAATGGTCGACCATTGAAAGTGAATGGGAGAGACTGAAACTAACAGAACAATTTAGTTTTCAGGAGCATGTTCATTATTTTCATGTACACATATGAGCATGTGTGCTTGCAAACATTGAGCCCTTGGACCTGTGCATGTATCGATACATTTATACACACGCTACCCAGACACACACACGTTAAAACACACAAACTTTTTTGAGTATTACACACATTCTTTTCCACAGAGAGAAATTTGATCCTACCCTAACCTGCATCTAATATACATTTATCCATCTGACATTACCACACACACACACACACACACACACACACACACACACACACACACACACACACACACACACACACACACACAAAAACTGGCCGTGACTGCAGTGACCCGGCTTCAAAAGAATCTTTCTTTCATGGTCTTGTTTCATCACAGCTTCCAGACAAAATATTATGACATTTTGTTTTGGAACTGTGAGGTTCTCACACAGAACTAAACAATATTTACAAATATACATCATGTGATAGCACAGGCATATATAAAATGCCTCACAGCACCTTGCTTGTCATTCATTTGTGGCAGCACCATAGACAGTAAAAGAAATGGACAGAGCGATCTCATTGGAACTCAGTTGAGACAGTTGAAGCCCACTTTTAGCGATTTTTGAGCACTTCCGTTCCTGACGCGCAGACTCAGACCGACTCAAACTAAGCTTGATGACGTGAGCAACCTGTCTGACAGACGTTAATCTTCTAGTAGCTGTGCGTGAAAACTGCCAACGTTAATCTTGCAGAGACGGGGAACTTGAGCAAAGAGTTATTTGGCGTGAGTGAGCAGGAGTAAGAATTCCGTTGCTTTTATGGACTCATTATCTATGGGCTTCTCCCTTGACGGGACGTCCCCCCGATTGCCTGCGAGCTTCTCCTCCTGTCTGTACGGTAACTTCTGTACAGCGCGACAGAGAGTCGAGTGGTTATGACGCAATCGTTAGCCTATTTTTACTAAATCTGTTTCTACGGAGCCATAGTGTAACATAGAAGGTAATGGAGCCCTTTATACATTGTCGTGTTTCTTTAGAAATAAATAATGGACAAATGGAGTCTTTAAACGCCTCAGATGTAAAGTTATTCGCTGTCAAAGTGACGCAAAAATGAATGGGAGTCAATGGAAATGCTAACGCAAGTGAAGTTCTGCTACAACATGGCGGCACCCGGCGGGCTTCAACTTCCGGTCGATGGATTACCCCCTTGGGCAGCACAATGGCAAAACAGCTCTGCACATGATGTTATTCATCAGATTTTTGACTCAGAAACTAGTGAGGAGGAGGACATGCAGGATGCATCTTGCAGTGAAGATGTTTCTGAAGAGGAAGGCCTTCAGAAGAAAACCTGCCTTGCCTCATAGGTGGGGATGAAGGCCAGGACAAAGTTCCATCTTTTGACCAGAATAAAACGGTAACCTCAGCTGGGCCCTCATCACTGGAAGACTGCTCCTCTGCCGATTCAGTGGTGCCTTCCTCTTCAGAAACATCTTCACTGCAAGATGCATCCTGAATTTCCTCCTCCTCACTAGTTTCTGAGTCAAAAATCTGATCACGGCCTGTGTGTGTGTGTGTGTGTGTGTGTGTGTGTGGTAATGTCAGATGGATAAATGTATATTAGATGCAGGTTAGGGTAGGATCAAATTTCTCTCTGTGGAAAAGAATGTGTGTAATATTTAAAAAAGTTTGTGTGTTTTAACATGTGTGTGTCTGGGTAGCGTGTGTATAAATGTATCGATACATGCACAGGTCCAAGGGCTCGATGTTTGCAAGCACACATGCTCATATGTGTACATGAAAATAATGAACATGCTCCTGAAAACTAAATTGTTCTGTTATTTTCAGTCTCTCCCATTCACTTTCAATGGTCGGCCATTGTGACCATTTTTGACCATGCCTACTCTCAGATGAATGAGGCCCACGATTAATCAGATGCAAACAGAAATATAAAACCAGTCCTAATTGAAAGAGAACAAGTTGCCAAAAAGATTGAATCCAAGATTGGGTGAAAATATGGTATAATTAGTGACTTATAAGCTATTTTTTATAGGCCGGTCATTTTTGACCGGGAACACCACAAGTGTGACTATGTGCCATATTTTTTACAAAACAAAAGTTTCAAAACAAAATTCCTGGTGAAACATTAGAGTAGACAAGTGTGATCAACAGTAGCCATTTTTTTCATTTTTTTTTTTTTCATATTTCCAAATTTACTCATAAATTATTTGTTTTTTACTCAAAAAATGAGATGCCTACTCTCAGACAAATGAGGCCCACGATTAATCAGATGCAAACAGAAATATAAAACCAGTCCTAATTGAAAGAGAACAAGTTGACAAAAAGATTGAATCAAAGATTGGGTGAAAATATGGTATAATTAGTGACTTATAAGCTATTTTTTATAGGCCGGTCATTTTTGACCGGGAACACCACAAGTGTGACTATGTGCCATATTTTTTACAAAACAAAAGTTTCAAAACAAAATTCCTGGTGAAAATGTTAAGTTGACTAGTGTGATCAACAATACCAATTTTCTTCAGATTTTATTTAATATTTCCAAAATTATTCAAAAATTTTAAAAAAATTACTCAAAAAATGAAATGCCTACTCTCAAATAAATGAGGCCTATGATTATTCAGATGCAAATCAAAATATAAAACCAGTCCTAATTGAAAGAGAACATGTTGACAAAAAGATTGAATCCAAGATTGGGTGAAAATATGGTATAATGAGTGATTTATAAGGTTTTTTTTATGGCCCGGTCATTTTTGACCGGGAACACCACAGGTGTTATAGGGTTTTGAACACCACATGAGGGTTAAATAAATAATGGACACAAATGAAAAACATGAATTCGTTTATTTGATGTCATTCATTTATTTATTGTTGCCAAATGGACAGATCTTTTTATAGTTTCCTCGTTAGCTAACGTTAGCCTAGCTAGCTTGCCAAGCTATTTTCATAAATAATCTGTAAGATCGTTGTACCTTCATCTGTGACTGGAGGCCACTGTCTAACATCATCAACCCAACAAGTCATTCTGCCTGGCTGTAGCTGTCATCGAGGGTGCGTTATCACGGAGGTTTGTTTACATACTGGTAACAGCTCAGTAATGGCGTCGCCACAAGATGGCAGCCT